ATAACATTATACAAAAATTAGATTTTTCATAAAAATTGAAATTTTGCCGGGAATGGGGCTTTAAAAAAGAGATAAAAAAGACAAAAAAAAAAAAAACCAAAAATTCTAAAAATGAAAAATCAACAACCAATTATAAAAAAGACAAAAAACCCCCCAAAAATGAAAAATCAACAATCAATTTTTGAAATACCTGTACATGAAAAATTACCAATCAAAACAAGTAAATTCACAGCAAGGTCTAAGATATAAACAAGAGTTATGAAGAAATAGAAATAAAAGAAGCCTACATATTTAATAATAGGATTATGATGGGTAATCATTATCATGTTTAAGAGCAGGGTTGATTCTAGAGTGGGTAGGGCAGCCGGCCAGGGCCTCTTACATTAAAAAAAAAAAGCGTCGTAAAGAGGGGGGCCCACGTGGCCTTCCGGGCTCATTTCGACTTAGAACTAGCATTTACTCGAAAAGCACACAGTTGTTACATAATTGGTCAAAGCTCCAGAATGCTGGTCGTAGTACGAGGGGCCTCTTCTAATAAATCTTGTTTGTGGGATTTTGGTGTATTTGTTTTTTTTTTTTTTTTTTCTTTTTTTGGAAATTATTAAAATTACCATATTGTCGAAGAGTTTCAGTAGAGTTCTGGGTAGAGGGACTCCCTGGCCTATTCAGACCTGTGGTCTGGGACAGGGCCCAAGAAAGCACACGCGTTATGCCACTGATTAAGGCTCGGTAGTAAAGTGCTAGGTAGTAGTAGGAAGGTCCCGGGCTCTTCCGGGGCCCTATTTGTGTGGGGGCCCGGGGCTGCGACCCCGAAAGCTCATGGGCGTTACGCCACTACGTTGTGAAAAATGGTCAACACAGCTATACAGGCCTACTATTGTTTATATTATTCATCGATATATTAACTAGCGGAATCTAACAACAGCTCACAAACTGTGATTAAAAGCATACAAAATATAAAATTAACAATAAAAGGCAAGGCATATAAATTTGTCCTTTTTTTCCTCAGACAATTCTTCGCATTTTCATTTCTGAGAATCGTAACATATAGACAAAGTTCCACGATATTCCCGATTCATATATACCATTAAGATTAGAACGGTAACATGCGTTGAACCACCTACCGCACTTAAACAAACTACTACAACTAATAATGAAATGATCGTTATCTCGGTCAATTGTAGAGAAGCTCATGCCATTGTTGTATCTGTTTGCGCTCCAATCGGTGTAACCAAGCCCTTCCTCTGTAAAACATAACAAGACAACTGATCACTGTAGATAAGAAAAAAATGTATAGTATGCATTGCATTTCATTTGGGAAATATTCTTCTAACCCGTTGAGTTTTATATTCTGTGGTACAACAGGTTCGCTGGCGCCAGGATTTCCACGACAGGGTGGTCAAAGGTCCCCGGAGGGGGGGGGGGTGGCTGATGTCCTGAAGGTGGTCGGGCGTCGCTAAAAAACTTTCGAAAATGGTCCAGGGGACGTAGCCCGTCGAAAATATGACAATTTAGGGGTTTGAAAGGCTTATTTAATCGATTTTAGAGTTCATTAATATGTACTAAATACATAGGCCTATGTTTTTTTGAATGTTTTTTTCTCGCCGACGAATTGTGGTTTTTCTTCCCGACGGGGGGGGGGCTGTAACCCAGATGGGTATAAGAGCCAGACCTATCGCAAAATCAACATGAAAAATTCATCCGCATTTATTTTTTGTGTGGAACACAAAAAATCAAATTTCAGTCTTATAAGAATATTCATGGTTTCAGAAATCCATTATAAAGCCGTGGGGGGGGGGGGGTTCTCTCCCAAATCCCCTACCAGGGCTTTTCCCCTGGACGCGATCAACACAAGGCTCGCTTCGCTCGCAAAACGCACCCTGCCATCGCGAGTCCTGCCAACGGGCCTAATTTTAAACCTATGCACAGTGTGTTCCGAGAGCAGTACTATTTAATTTATTTATGATGTCAAAAAAAAGTTTACAGCATAATAGTCCTAAATATAAAATATAAATACACACACAGTAAAAATTTATTAAACATAATATGTTTATATTACACTATATTATATATATTATGTTAATCGTAAAATTCAATAATCTATAGGCCTAAATAGAACAGATGAATGAAAATCAATGATTTTGGTGTCCGGCGGAGGCTAGTTTCACTGGTAGTTGCGTCATGAGCAAGCCGGTCAAGTACACGTGCGCTGACACGTGATGATCCAACCAATTACCTAATGTATTATGGCTTCTGATATTTTGAATTGTACCTGGTTTGAACACACCAGATTTCCAGGCACAGTGGGTTTACATGCTTTAAACTGATTTAATTTTCTTTAATTAAACTGCTCATAAAACATTCTTGCAACAATTGGTTTAATAACAAAAAAACCAAAAATATCTGAAGTTTGGGCACGTAAATCAGCTAAAGTCTTGTTTCCATTTTAGTATATTTCAAAGATAATTGTTTTTGTAAATATTATATATTTATTTTCTGTATGTATATTTTAAGTACTACATTCAAACATTGTGCTAATCCAGTAATCACATTGTAAGAACATCGTGAATATATTTTTAAATCTTGAATTGAATTGAATAACCATATCTTATTTTAACTTGGCCGAGCGGTTAAGTCAGGGGCACCAGCTACAATCGGTGCTGGTTCAAACGGCTCACTCGCCAATGGTTCCGGTGGTGGAACAAGTGTTCTCAGATAAGAACTTTAAACCGTAGGCCCAGTGTAGGCATTTGGCTCGTGTGCACTTTAAAAGAACCCATACATCATTCGAGAAGAGCAGGGGGTTACCCCGGTGTACTGGTCCACTCAGTCCCCTGCTGTTCGATGGATATGCCACGTAGGATAGAGATTCAGTTCACTGATTGTCATATCCTTTGCGCTCGTGCCTAAGTGTAGGCCTATGTTTATAGAGATGCAAACAAATGTATTAAAAAAATAGTTGAAAACTTGATGTACCTGTACTAGACTTAACGCCGATGTAATCTCCCAAATTCAGCCTGAAGTTGTCACTCTCACTTCCAATCTCAATTGACTCGTAGGTGACGTGATAAGCGTTGCCATCACGGGTAACCATATCTATCCGAAATTCATACTTTGCCGACGACGTAATTTTGTGGATTTTATTGTTTCCGAGCCAAAACTCGCCACTCAAATCACCAAATTCAGACATATAATTTTGCCAATTTTGGTTGAAGTCTACAGATCCATCTTGTCGCCGCTGAAATACCTATAATAATTAAATTTTTATTATATTCAGCAGGATTTTTATAGGGTGGGTGCGAATTTGTAGAAAGTAGACCACAATGGCCCGGAGGTGAGGAGAGGGGGGGGGGGGGGGTCTGAGGGAGGACACTGCATGTGGCCCTTTTGTAAATCGGCCGTGCCAACCCTGAACCCTGCTGGGATCGAGATGAAGGAGCTCAGGCATTTTTGATAATTTGACGCAGTGTGACCACTGGCAAAAATCAAAATTCCCTAGATTGAGTCTAAAAAATCCCAAGATTTCTTTAAAAATCCCAAGATTTGCAAAATATTGGTGTATACAACAAGTTCATTTATTAAGACCAATTTTAAAGCTTTTTCAATGAATTTTATTAACTGTGCTATACGAAACAGTG